CATCACCGGTTTGTCTCGAACGTGGTCTCTCCCATATCGCTGTGACGTACTTCACTGACTAAGGGAATCAAAATTTCTGAGTCGCAATTGCTTTTTTTAAAATTTTTAAATCAAACTGCTAAGATTTATAAAGCATTTGAATTCACTGTTATTTGGTCGAGTTTTAGGGAGGACGCAGAGATGGAGTATCTTCGTGTTGCTCAGGATTTGGAAATGTATGGCATTCAGTACTATCCGATATGTGTAAGTTTATTTTTTAGTAGCAGTGCCTGAATTTTACAACACTGAAATAGACTGCTTTTCATAGAACTTTCCACAGCCATGGACTTAGAAAGTTCAATGAAAAGCAATCCAAATGTATTTTCAGTGCTGTGAAATTTCTGCATTCTCATAATAAAGCGTGTTTCGTTCGAAAATATTTCTTTGTCCAAAACAAATTCAAGTAATCTCTTAATGTTTCTATGTTACTTTTTTTATCCGTTACATTTGCGTAGTTTATGCGTATTAGGCGAGCTGAGTGATGACCCCTTCTAAAAATGCAAATTTTATTGGCATCTTTACAACACACACTTCAGAAACTTCTTTTGGCGCATACTGCTATTTGAGTTACCTCCAAAAGCCTCTACTCAAGAGACTGAATGCGGAGGGGTTTTGACTTTTGACTCTTACTTTCAAGGTCAAATGTATATTGATACTTAAACGGTCATTTTCTTGATCCGTCGCTAGTAACATTTATTTTCAGAACAACAAAGAAACAGATCTGACACTGGGTGTGTCGGCACAGGGCATTGGCATTTACAAGGAGACCAACCGAATCACGCCTCGTCCGTTCTTTTCGTGGAGTGAAATCAAAAATATCTCATTCAAAAACAAAGTTGTGAGTTTCCGCATCTCATTTGCTAAAGTGTTTTATCGATCTATCATTAGGAACTCGAAACTGGCACTAATTTTATCATTTTTGCAGTCTTCTTCGTTCCAGTACCACTATAAATAAGCATATTCCCTGCCTGGCGAATAATAGGAGGACTGTATTGATGATTTCCACTCCTTCCATACCCAAAACTTTGCCTGCGCTTTAGTTAAGGAATGAAATAGGCTGCTTAGTCACATGCCCATTTGTAATATGATACAAACTACATCTTTTCTACTCTTACATTCTTTTGGGTCCGAGAGTTGAGTTGACGACGACGAATACTGGATAGTCAAAGTAACGCAGAAGGATAAATCGGTTTATTCACCACACAATATTAGCCAACGAACAACAAACCAACAAAAGCAGGGGTATTTATACAGGGAGTGGAGCACAATAAA